TATATAGTCCTTGAATCTCACCAGAACTACCAAATAAAAAAATCTGCATTCATTCCACCCTAAATGAACAGATAACACCTGAAGAAACGTCACCTGTCTTATTTAATAAACATTTAATTTCTGTCTTATATGCAGGACTTAAGGCTTCACAAGTCTTGCTCTGCTTTTAGAAGATTTGCATAAAAAAAAAAAAAATGTATTTTATCTGTTTCTGAATGAAACGAGATGTTTTATATGTACCGTACTTTAGCTTGATCCCCGTTCTTGAAATCATTTTGTTTGGTTTGTATTTTGGTAAAATAACTTCAGTTGACAAAACTTCAAGCGTCACCACAGAACCTCTAATCCTGGTTTACAGTGCACAATGTTGTGCTTCTCATTGAAAAATCAGACAAAATCAAACAATTTCAAGCTTAAATAGTTAAAAACTCAGGGTATTTTCTTAGTTTCGTGTCTTTTGTTCTTCATTGCGTTACGTTTCATCACATGTATGGATGCAGACGAGCTATTTTAATCAATACTTTACAGATCGTTCCTTAATTAACCCAAGTTTAAGCCTTGCTCATGATTATTTACAACTTTAACCTCTTGTATTTCAGGCTCTACGTCTAAATGTTGACTCTGCAGTTCTGAGGCGGTTCTGTTCGGTACCTTTAAGGATCCAGGTCAGTTCGTCCCTGCACCAAATCGTACCTTTGCAGTTTGGGTGTAAAAAGAAGCCCTTTGACCCAGGTTTGTCCCTTTTGTACCCATTTCCTGACAGTTTCGTACCCACCCTGGCAGAAGCCCCATCAGACATTAAATACGATAATTAAAGCGGTTTCACACAAGCAGCTTCCTAACTGAGCACATGCACCGTGGAAAGGGCTGCAAGGAAACAGCAAGAGCACCGCAGACAGAGCAACATGTCAACAAACTACTATACAGCAATCAGTGGCAACAGCAAGCAACAAGAGACTGTTTTATACATCGTAACTATGATGCAACAGCTTCTGCACGCTGCTGATTTTCCTGTTTGACCTTTCTGTTAGAGAATGTTGGTTTATGGATGTTTTTAACTACGATGACTGAGAACGTTACCTGCCCATGAACCAGGTGTTTGAGTTAGCAGAGATGATTTGATGCTGCAGGCGCAGCTGACAGTCCAAGGACGCCAGTGTCTGAGAGCTCGGAGCTGATAAGTGTATAAAAACAAGCCTCGCACACTGCCCGAGGCAGATTCTCATCACATGCGTGTTTACTCTTACATCTGCGTACCTGTTGAGAAAATCTGTCCTTGCAAGTAAAACGGGTTAAAAATCTTCTCCCGTCATCGAGTGTGGCTTCTTTCAGCGAGTAACACGAAGAGAGGGTATTTTTATTCAACACTTATGTTTGCGGCTACACAGCGGATGCAACGTTAGTCAAATAACCAACACAAGAAATCTTCACCAGTGTGGTCTCTGAGACGACCACCGCAGACCACCGCAGACCACCGGGGCTTCAGCCAAAGCCACATAACGAAGGATTACGACGACTGGTGAAACCTTCACGTGCTGGAAAATCTTTAATCAAAAAGCTTGTTTGAAGCCTTTTGACAAAGCACGGCTCGATTCTACGCCTTTAAACCCTGTGCATGCTGGGAGTGTTGTGAGTGGCTTGGTACGCAGTGGGGGTACGATGTGACCGGCAGCAGCCGACATTAAAGCTGGAGCCTGAAACAAAACAGAAAGAGACGAAAAGAGAAATCACTGCTGTTGACTGTTTTCTCTTAATATAAAATAAAATAAGTTCTCAACCTTCGACCAGTGATCCGATTCTAGAGACGTCTAGAGGCTCAAACTCTGACACTCAGAACGCCTCCGAGCTCACCTTCCACCAGAACATGGCGTAGACACCACCCGAAGAGCCGCAGAGTCCGTGTTGGAGGGAGCAGACGAGAACGGACAGGAACTTTGGCTGTAATGACTCACACCAGGTGGATTAAAGCGCACAGGAACATTTACACAGATCGATGCTCTAATTAAATCAAAGTTATGAAGATAAAGTCTCATTTCCACAACAAATCGTCGTTAACGCTTCAGAATTTGACTCTTCTCGTCTTGCGGTTCTTGTTGGCTGCTGAGCTGGGATGATACTGGGGTTTTATATAAAGTGCAAACAAAAACAAAATGCAACGATTTTTAAAAAATCCCATTAACCTGTTTTTCCTCCACAGTGGAACATACTTCAAACATTTAATATCTTTACTAAGAAACTGTAACTTTTGTGGGAAAAAAAATGAAATAAAATACTTTGGATGTCATCAACACGTCGCCAGTTGATCCAGATTCAAGTTTCGTTTTGTGAAGCACCTCCTCTTCCTTTAACACCAGTCTGTCCAGGACCTGAGGAGACCAGTTGGAGGTTTTGGAGGACCTGAGGAGACCAGTTAGAGGTTTTGGAGGACCTGAGGAGACCAGTTGGAGATTTTGGAGGACCTGAGGAGACCAGTTGGAGATTTTGGAGGACCCGAGGAGACCAGTTGGAGGTTTTGGAGGACCTGAGGAGACCAGTTGGAGGTTTTGGAGGGCCTGAGGAGACCAGTTGGAGATTTTGGAGGACCTGAAGAAACCAGTTGTAGGTTTTGGAGGACCTGAGGAGACCAGTTGGAGATTTTGGAGGACCTGAGGAGACACAGTTGGAGATTTTGGAGGACCTGATGAGAGCAGTTGAAGGTTTTGGAGGATCTGAGGAGACCAGTTGGAGGTTTTGGAGGACATGAGGAGACCAGTTGGAGATTTTGGAGGACCCGAGGAGACGAGTTAGAGGTTTTGGAGGACCTGAGGAGACCAGTTGGAGGTACTGGAGGACCTGAGTAGACCAGATGGAGGTTTTGGAGGACCTGAGGAGACCAGTTGGAGGTTTTGGAGGACCTGAGGAGACCAGTTGGAGGTTTTGGAGGACCCGAGGAGACCAGTTGGAGGTTTTGGAGGACCCGAGGAGACCAGTTAGAGGTTTTAGAGGACCTGAGGAGACCAGTTGTTGGCGGGAATTTCATTCTGGTCTGATGGCGGATTCTTGCTCTTCTACAATCCTGGATGGGAGCAGATGTTCTACAGCCAATACTTTAGAATATTTAGCTTCTTCTTCCACTTTTCTTTTCTGATGGAGCCTTTCCAGATGTGTAAGCTGCAATGGCAGAGGTCAGAGCAGATTCTTCTAATCTTTTGCTGATATAATGAGCTGTAGATAATGAAATATCCTTAAAGTCTCTCCAGTTTTCCACTAAGGAACATTGTTTATTTTCTCAGACTGGTGAACTTCTGCCCATCTTTACTTCTGACAGATTCAGCCTCTTGTTTTATGTCCACTCACTGATCTGTTGCCAATTAATACAATTAGTTACAAAACGCTCCTCCAGTTCTTTCTTACTTCTAACACCAACTTTTACATACTTAACCAGTGGTGGGCACAGTTAGCCAAAAAGTTAGCTATGCTAACCCAGATTTTGCTAACAAAAAATTAGCTTTGCTAATGCTAACCTGTTAAACCAGTTAAAAAACATTAGCGGAAGCTAACGTTAAACCGCTAACCGCTAAGATGACTGTCACTCAGTCTGCGTCACACGTCGTCATCTCCTTCCTGTTGAGGCTGCGTCGACCAATCACGTCGTGCCACATGTACACACAGTCAGCCAATAGCGTGCCTAACAGACTCTTTGAGTCCCGCCCACAACAGGCAGGAGCAAGCTGTCCGCGGATTTAAAGTTGGCAGAACCTAATTTAGTGGAAGTTAATTCCACTAATAGTTTACAAAGTTAAACGTTAAAATCTGCTAAATGCATCAGCGTCAGAAGCATTTATATATAGTGTGTGTGTGTAGAAGGGGTACACATTAGTGGAGCTGGGGGCGTCCAGGTGTGTGTGGGGGGGTCCTCCCCCAGAAAACTTTGAATAAAGTAGATGTCATTTCCTGCATTATGGTGTATTTTTACAGGTTGTTAAATGTTTGTTTACTTACACAGGTAAACACTTGATTCAATAATTATTTTAGAGAGCAACAAGAAGTCTGACCAACAGGAGCCCCCCCCCCCCCCCCCCCCCCCCCCGTCCATGTCAAAAATTGAACTAATGTAGCGCTAAGCTAGCAGTGTGCAATACAGACATGTTAGCTGAGATGCTACAGACGTAGCGCTCTGCTTCTCTCACACATCCTAACCCCCACCCCGGTCAACAACTGCAGCACTATTGTGGTGTTAAGCTAGCATGCAAAACAGAGGTGTCACCCCCTCCCCCCCTCCCCCGTGAGCGCCCTGCCAAGGCTGATGAACGAGGACAAACATGGCATGTGGTGTGTTGTTGCAGGTAACCAGGAAAACCTGGAAAACCCGGATTGGACTTTTAGTGGTTTGAGCGTTCGTTAATCAAGAGGAGTGGAATCGTTCGTGAAGAAATAGAAACAGCGCTGGGTGAACTAATATTTCATGGTAAATGTGTGTGTGGGGGGTTAATTAATTTTAAATGTGGGGGGACACGTCCCCAACATATAATTGATGCGATGCCTATGGCTAAAGGACAAAAATAGTTCCCCTATTGTTAAGGGATTGGTGGAACTGTACCCACGACATGTTAGAAGTATCCATAAAATGTAAAATTATCTTATTTTTTCAACGACTGTACAAAATTTCTGTTCAAATGTTTGATATGTTTATCGTGTTCCACTGCGAATAAAATATAGCCTCGCGTTACGTGTTTTATTTACATTTTCCATCATGTCCCAGCTGTTTTGGACCTGGGGTTGTACATCGGTTGACAGTCCGACGCTTCTTTCGGCCTTGGACGACCGTTAAAGCCTCGTTTCGTAAAACTGACGCACTGATTGGACGGTCGTCAAAGAATAAAAGCAAAACACCAAATATTATAATCGTAAAACATTTTCAAGACGAGCAGAGCGCTGGATCCAACGTTTAGGCCCAAAGTTCACAATCAAGTAACGTATTCCAGTCTGGTTGCTGACAACAAAACTAGTTAGGGTTTTATAAGATTATTATACGTCCACAAACACAATCGAACAGTCCAGGTTCCATCGATGGCGGTCGCTCTCAGCGTCTTGTTCACCACAGAAGAAGAACAGCGTCTACAGTTAGCCGCCGCTCTACATGACGACGCACTTCCCCTTCAGCTTGTCGGCCCGTTTCTGTTTCCCCGAGCGTTTCCCGTCGATGCTCAGGCTCATGTCCCTCTTCTTCTCCAGCGCCAGCAGCTCCTGGAACAGTTCCTTCACGTTGCTGTTCGTTTTGGCCGACGTCTCCATGAAGGCGCACTTCCAGGCGCCGGCCTGAGTCTCCCCCACCTTCGTCTCCACCTCCCGCTGGGCCAGCTCATCGCTCTTGTTGCCCACGAGCATGATGGGAATCGACTCCATGCTGCTTTTGATGGCCAGAATCTGCAAGGATGAAAAACCAGTCAGGCCCCGTGTATCAAACACAAAAAGCAGCAACTAGATGTTTCTAAATATTTCAAATGTTTCTTTTTTTCAAGGAGAAGCAGCTGGTGGGGGGTGGACCGAACCACCCGCTGAGGTTCCTGACCTGCTGGTAGATGGGTTTGAGCTCCTCCAGTGATTGGCGGCTGGTGATGGAGTAGACCAGGATGAAGGCGTGGCCTTTGGAGATGGACAGGCGCTGCATGGCAGGAAACTGGTGACTTCCTGTCGTGTCTGTGATCTGCAAGGTGCAGACGCTCTTGTCGCAGCTGATCACCTGCAGAGACGACGAGCACAGATTCAGGGAGTCTTAACCTGCAGGGTGTTTGGGTCGACCGGTCTGAAACGTTGGGCTCGTGCCTCACCTGTCTGTAGGTGTCCTCCACCGTGGGGATGTAGGTGTCCCTGAAGGTGCCTTTGACAAACCGAAGAACCAGCGAGCTCTTCCCTACACCGCCAGCACCGAACACCACCACCCGGTAGTCGTTACTCTGCTCGGGCATTCTGGGAGCTGGAGTCCGCCTGCCAGTCGGGCTCGGTCTCCTGCGAACAACAAGACAGACCTGGTCCAATAAATCACTTGGTGCTCACCAAGGCACGGCGCCGACGGGACTCTGAGGTTTGGTCCTGATCATTGGCAGCACAGACAGAAAGTGGGTCAAATAAAAAGGGAAGCAGGGTCAGAACTGGGTCAGAACCGATGCGTTTTCATCAGAACTTATAGTTAGAACAGAGAGGAGCTTCTAGATGCTGAAATAAATGTGAGGAAATCAGCTGATTTTCTTTAGCAGCTGAGCAACATTTTATATTTAACGTGTGATTCTGGATTTGTTGTCCATGCTGCTCTTTTCCTGTTCTTTAATTTTTAAATACGTGTTTTTTGTAAATCAACCTAATTCTGCAGTTTGTGCTACTTTCATCTTTTAATTTGCTTTTTGCTATTTTTTTGCTCATAATCTAGTTCTTTTAGCTATTTTTATCGATTAGCTAGTCTTTTACTACTTAGCCTTTTGTTATTTTGGGCTTTTATTAATTTTATTATTTGCTACATTTAACATTTATTTAAGGTTTTATTGCTTTTAGCTAGTTTTTGATGCTTTTAATGTTCATCAAGCCTTTTCCTACTTTTAACTAATCATTTTCTATTTTTGGCTTTTAGCTTTTTTTTTTTTTTTCAACTTTTAACATTTAGCTAGCATTTACTACTTTTATTTAACTTTTGCTATTTTCAGCTGTTAACTAGCCTATTCATACTTTAACAAGCCTTTTTCAGCTTTAAGCATTTTGCTAGGCTTTTACTATTTATAGCTAGGTTTTGCTACTTTTAGCTGTTAGCTAGTCTTATATTTTAAACTAGACTTTAGCTACTTTTGGCTTGTTTGTTTGCTACCTTTAGCATTAGGCTAACTTTTCACTACTTTTAGCTAGTTGATGCTTTTAGCAATCATCTAGCCTTTTCTTACATTTAGTAAGCCATTTGAAACTTTTAGCTAACTGTATTTGTTACTTTTAACATTTAGCTAGCCTTTTACTACTTTTAGCTAGTTTTTGCTACTTTTATTGGTTAACTAACCCTTTTCATACTTTTAAATAGCCTTTTACTACTTTTCAGAATCAGAATAATCTTTATTATCATTGCATCGAAGTACAGTGAGATTATGTCCGTACAGTCGTCAGAAAGACGGGCGGAGTGCACGTTGCTGCTGCTCCTAAGAGCGCGGCCCTTATTCTTTTAGACAGAAAAGGGGAAAGACCATGAAGAAAGGTTCGTGATATTACAAAAAAGATCTCTTCACACCTTGGCCTTATCGGGACACAATTTAAGAAATCAAAAAACTCTGCCAGCAGCACATTTATAGACACATTACTTGTGCATTTGACAACAAGACGGTGAGATTTGTCCATGAAGCACTTCCAGATAGCACCATAGTCCTGATAAGATGTTGGTGTCAGCTGGTACAGCTCCGATAAGCGTTCACAGAAGTCGTCGGGGGGTGGGGGGGTTGCACAGGGTCTAGAGCAGAGCCTTAGTTTACACATATCCCAGGAGAAATTTGACAAGTTGGCCTGCTTCCTTTTTTTTGTCTAATCAGATGTGGCCCTCCAGACACGCCCATTTTTCTATCGTCCAATCAAATGTGGCCCTCCAGACACGCCCATTTTTCTATCGTCCAATCAAATGTGGCCCTCCAGATACGCCTTCCGTATTTGTCTGCAGAGATACCTACTTGGTCTGAGTAAACACAAACCAAACCTTCAAGGTTTTGTCATGGCCAAAACTGCAGCTGTCTTCTTTAATAGCCGATAACCATAGGTACCCGACGGTGCAAAAAGCAGAAACCCTGCCATCATAAATCCAATTATATAAATCTTTGGCATCCTTCTGAGACAACACAGAAAGGCACATCAACTTATCCATGACATACCCACCCGCATGCGTCTCAGCGGGGCATGAGGGTTCTCCAGGACCCTGTCGCTTGGTTGAAAAAAAAAATTAAAAATTTAAAAACAATTCCACAAAAAAAATTGTCATGTCAGTAATTTATGATTCAAAAGATGTGAATAGAAGCTCCAATATACAGGACAGACAGCAAAAAAAAAAGCAGGAGGGAGACGGGAGAGGGAAGAAAAAGCATCCGTCTTGACGAGAGCAAGTGAGGAAAAACACTTTTGACTTTTAACTAATTTTTTTTGCTACTTTTAGCGCTTAGCTAGGCTTTTTATCCATTTAACTAGCTTCGTGTGACATTGGCCTTTTAACATGTCAACAGTTTTTGCTCTTTACATCCAAACTAAAAGAATCTTGTTGGATGAAATGAGGTTCGACAGCAACGTACAGCCACAAGGAGCGATTGTCCCAAGTACAGCGTCTCTTAAATATGAGAGGAGAGCACCTAGAGAGCTAACAAGTGGAGGATGAGAGGTAAAAACAAAAAACATTAACTGAAAGGAATGATTTTATTTTATGGTGTAATAAATACGGGATGAAAATGCATTTATATGATTTCAATGAGTCAATGTTTTCCTGAAGGACCATCAGAGAGCGCAGTAAAGTGACTGAAGGAGTTTGTGAGAACATTTGAAACGATTCTGACAAAGTTCAAATGTTTTCAAAACACTTTTAGGCTTCGTCTGGAACGGTTTATTGACAACGCCCCAAAAATAATTTACAATAAAACACAAACAAAAATAAACGAGTGGCTGAAGGTTTTTCACGAGACCTTCTGAGGGTTTACGATATAAAAGCTGTTTTGGGCTTGAATCTCTGGTAGAAACAGTTTCACCTCCTCCTCATCTCCACGCTCACCGGTGACCAATCAGCACGCGCGCACACACACACACACACACATCCCTGCCTCCTGGTAGCATCCTTGGTGTTTACTCACATAACTGTGGCAGCATTAAGGTGTGTGTGTGTGTGTGTGTGTTTGTGTGTGCGTGTGTGAAAGAGAGAGAGTGTGTGTCGCCCCATCGCCGTGGTTACCAGGCTCAGAGGAGAGAAGACGACAGAGACGGACTGCAGAGATTTATGCACTGGGAAGAGCAGCGCAAACATTTCATCACCAGCAGGTCCGTCGTCATGGTTACCCGCCTGCCCACACCATCCGATGTCACTTCCTGTGCAGAGGCGGGCGGCAGAGAAAACACCAGCGACTGGACGGGCAGCACCAGAGCTGCAGACGAAATATCTGAAGATAAACGATGCGAAGAAGTGGATCAAACATGAACGTTGATCTTCCTGCTGCTTCGAAGAGAAACAGGAAGTGTCTAATTTAAAACTTTTCAGCCGTTTGTCTCCACATGTCTGACGTCACCGCTTCGTGTAACTTCACCGCTTCATTAAACTCATTTGTAGCATTAATTTATTAGTTTTGAGGTTTCACATAAACAAAGCAGGTTACCTAAAAGGCCACTGAAGAGACGCGGGGCACAAATAGTTTTTTTTTATTTATTTTAGGCGAGGGGAATCCCACCTCTGAGTCTGTATTTTTGATAAACACTGTTGCCATGGAGACGGCGTTTCGCCGACCACAAACAAAATCCATCCAGAGCCACAAAAATCTACCAAACGCTCAAAATGAAGCTTCCATAGAAAGATATATAATAACCTCAAAATGGAGCGGTGGCGCAGAGGTTAGGGAAGGTGGGCCTGTGATCGGAAGATCGCTGGTTCAATTTCCGGTGCTGACAACATCAAAATGTGGGTGGGAAAGGTGAAACATCCACACCTGCCTCCACCCTCATTGGCCCCACTCTGGGCCCTTGAGCAAGGCCCTTAACCCCCACCGTCTGCTCCCCGGGCGCCCTCGATGCAGCTCTCTGCTCCACACAGAGGCTGTGGTAGCTCGGTGTCTGTGGTTGAGACAGGAAGGACATCCGGCATCAAAATAATCGCCAAGTCTTCGTGCGACACTTCGCTGTGGTGACCCCAGAAGAAGGAGCAGCCGAAAGAAGAAAAATATATAATAACTTCAAAAAGCAACAATGAACTGTAGATATCATCAGTATTTTACAGGATTAAAAATTATTTTTTGGGGGAGGGGGCGGATTTCAGGAGTTCATAGTGTTTACAGCATGTAAGTTAAACAATAAGTTTCCTCTAATAATGAAAGACTTTGATTTATTTAAAGTTGTACTAAAAGTTTTATCCAACGTAGAAGTTTTACTTGTAGTTCTTGATGTTATCAAAATAAACTGGTCATGTGTCAGAACTCTATTTATATCATTTGGCAGATCAAGTTGTTCGTGATTTGTTTGCACTCAGATGTGTTAAAGCAAATGAAACTTGTGGTGGATGTCGGAGAAATCATGTGGATGCAAGTTGGGTTAATGAAGCAGCTAAAATGCTAACATGCTAACAGGCTAATGCACGAATGGGCAAACAGGCTTACAAGCTAAAGGGCTAACAAGATAACAGGCTAATAAGCTAACAGTCTAATGGCTTGCAGACTAACAAGCTAACAGGCTAACGAGCTAACAGACTAACAGGCCAACGGGCTTGCAGGCTAACAAGCTAACAGGCTTGCAAAATAACAAGCTAACAGGTTAATGGGTTAACAGGCTAATGGGCTAGCAGATTAACAAGCTAACAGGCTAACAAACCAACAGGCTAATGAGCTAACAGGCTAATGGGCTTGCAGACTAACGAGCTAACAGGCTAACAGGCCAACGTTCTTGCAAGCTAAGGAGTTAACAGGCTAACA